GCTCCACCAAGGTTGACGGAGGAATCCACACCAACCAACACCCACGCAACGACAGAAACTGGAGGGGCCTCCTCCACGTTGCCGAAACGGCACAATCACACCACAGTCACAACCAGAGGCCGCGGGCCGAACACAAGACACAACCTCGGCAATGGATGGACAGACCCTGCTTGGGCTCTGTCCATGGCTTTCATCGGTCCCACACAGGCTGTTGGAACGCCTTACATGGACCACACAACCTACGGCTGGTCTCCAGGGTAGAGATATATTGCTCCTCTATACCGGTCCGAGAGACGGGGGAGCCCTCGATGACATCCTCACACAACAACAGCATGACCTGGGTGCCAGGCTCATTGCCGTAGACATCCTGAGGCCACCAGAAACAGGGCCGAATGACATCATGGACGATGCATTCTATTCAACACTCTGCTGCGCCGCCGCGGGGGGCCAGTTGACGTTTGTGGGGGGCGGCCCCAACTGCAGAACATGGAGCATCCTACGATGGTTCCCCAAACCTGGGGCACCCAGGCCAGTACGAGGGCGCGACCCCTCTCAGACATGGGGACTTGAGTCGAACTCTCTAGAAGAACAGTTGGACACAGACAAGGACAGTCTCCTTCTGCTCCGCCAAATGGTAATCACCGCCCTGACCTCCAAAGCCAGGCAGCAAAGGGGTTTCCACTCCTTCTTGGAACATCCTCGTGATCCAAATGAGTGTAGCCGGGCACCGGCCGCCACAAGATGCTCATCGCTATGGGCCACCAGAGTTTATGCGGAGTAGGCAAAAGAGGTCCAGCATCACAAGATCCACCTGGACCAATGCAGATTTGGGCAGGTGGCTCGGAAGAGCACAACCTTGTCAACGGACCTTCCACTCCACCACTGGCAAGGACTCCAGTGCAACCACGCGGAACACGCTAGGTCACCAGAGTTGACCTCTAGTGATCTCAGCAGATATCCGCCCACCCTTAAACAAGGGGCACCCTTCCATGGGATGTCAACAGGCTGGGGAACCCCCCGGGCGGACTGACCGGTCCTCGCCAGAACCCCTCTCCCAGACTATGACTCTGGATGATGACCCCATTATTGTCCAATCCGGATTCAAGACTAGACCATTGCGAGACGGAGGGGGCAAACCCTCGGCGGGGAGAAGGCCTCCTCCACTTAGACCTCAGTCTAAGCTCAAACACATCGGAGACTCCATTGCCCACCTGGCCCAATTGTGCGCCCAGGAAGTCCAAAGGTCCATCAACAGGGGTGACAGGAAACACCCTTTCTCCAGGGAGCTTCTTCTGGAGACACGGCAACACATTGCCCAAAGGATTGGGCTCGATCTCCAGACTGCAGAGGACATGGCGCCGGGCCAGCCATTTTACCTGAACCTCATCTCAGCATTAGCGGAAGCTGGTGGAGATGCAGATGCAGCCTACCCCACAAGTATTGCCACAGGGGTACTTTTGGGGGTCACTACCCCCACATGGACGTCACCCGGCATATGGCCAACCAAAGAGGAGTTAAAAGGAGAATCCCTGTGGGAAGACCTCCTCATACCAATGGGCCGGGACAACTATGCCTCAGCCAAGGACTTCTCATCCCAGGTCAGAAAAACCCTTGTGGAAGAGGTGGACATGGGTATGGTAGAGGGCCCACTCACGGCTTCGATGCGGCTGCACCCCAGACGAGCTCTGCTCAGGGCCCCTGGCAGCAATCGATGAAGGTGACAAAATCCGCACCATTTACGATGGTAGTTGTGGCCATGCCAACTCCCACGTCCAACAAAACACGGTGGAAAAGACCACGGCACCTACAGTTATGGACTGTGTCCAAGCCATCCACTGGCTGACCACCATGAAGGAGAGAACATCTGGGACGGTAGCGTCTTGCACCGACCTAGCATGGCACCCTCCACACAAGCAGACCACCTGGGCACTTTTGAAGGCAGATGTCTCAAAAGCACACCGCCGCATCAAGGTCCAATCGAATGAATGGCGACACCAGGTAGCACAACTTGATGGAGAATGGTGGATAAACAAGGTGGGCACTTATGGAATGGCCAGTGCCCAACTCTATTGGGGCCGAATGGCGGCACTCCTCCTCAGACTATGCTACATGGTTTTTCCACACATTGACTGGGGTTTTGTGTTTGTGGACGATTTCTGCTGGCTCCTCAGAACGGACACTGCCACTGAGGATACGGCCAAACTACTCCTCTTCCTAGCAGCTATGGGGTGCCCTCTCAGCTGGCACAAGATTGTGTTATCTGAGGTCAATAGCTGGTTAGGATTCCAGGTCAACCCCTGTGGACCTGTGGTGGACTTCCCCACAGACAAGCGGACGACGCTCAAGGCACTCCTTCACACCATTGCCGCGGGCGACTCATTCACGGCAAAGGAGATTGAAAGAGCATTGGGAAGATTGAATTGGGCAACGGCAGCTTGGCCTCTCAGCCGTCCTTTCCTTCAACCCTTTTAGGCCTGGAAATCTGCTACTACCACTTCAGGAAAGCCAAGCAGGGCTCATACGGTCCTTTGCCAAGCTCCTCCTCCAGCTTCTACACAACCCCCAAATCCAGCCCTGTCCATATGACCCAGCCTCCAACTGGTGGGGTGCTAGTGATGCAAGTGCACATTCAGAAGACGGGGCCTATATTGGTGGTTGGATTGCAGACTGTGAGAATCCCTCAAAGGAACAGACCTGGTGGTTCCACTACAAGGTACCCCTGGAGGATCACCCATGGGCTCACAAAGATGGTGATCCGACGAGACGCATTGCGACCCTCGAGATGTTCGGCACGCTGATCCTTACCCACTTTCTCTTGACTTTGGGTGGGAAATCGCTACTTCGCACTAGGCTTAGCCTCATCTCGGACAATCAAGGTAACATTTTTGCCCTTCTGAACCAGAAGACGAAGCATATGCCGACCTCAGCTTTCCTCATGCAACTCATTGTTATGATCCACGCTGCTGGGGTCCAATTGGCACCTTCACACATGAAGCGGGACTACAACAAATGGGCTGATGAACTTACCCATCCTGATTTCACTGGGTTCCATCCTGACCGACAACTACCAGTGAGAGAAGCTTTTTCCCATTTTAGATTTCTGTGGGCTCTTCTGGATGACCAGATGAACGCCCCCACACTTTCGGGAAATTCAAAACGTCGTAAGACCGACTATCACGCCACCTAAGGTCCATTGGAGCCAGGTGGTTGCGGCTGACTTTCTTGTGTACAGTGGTGTTCTCCCACCTACAACCCCTGTTATCCTTTTTCCTTGCGCGAGCTTAATGCTCCGGCGGGTTGGGTGGATTTGACGTGTGACACCACCACTGCATTTCAGAGTTTCTGATGAAACCACTTTTGTGATGGATGCGTTTGGCATCTGACAGAAACACAGCCGCAAAGCCAACTGCATAGCAAAAGTGCTGACTGACCGTTGCAGTTGCTTTGTTTCCGTTTCTGTCATTTTCAATTCTATTCGGGAACACACATGTATATATATATATTTATGTATATGCTTACTTGTATATATATATATATGTATATATGTATTTATGTTTGTATGTATGTATGTACGTATGTATGTATGTATGTATGTATGTATGTATGTATGTGTATATATATATATATGTGAATACATATATATATATACATATATATATATATGTATATTTAAATACGAATATGAATATATATATATATATGTATCTATAACATGCAAATAAATAAATAAATATATATATATATATGCATAGCACATGTATATTTGACTATAGGTAGCACGTAGGTACTTTGAGGGAGTATGTATGCTACGTAGGTCGTCTAAAAGGTAGTCAATGGGAGGCTGGTAGTCAGAATCGCTGCAAAAACCTAGCAAATACGAGGCTGGACCTCAGAAATGCTGCCAATAGCTTGCAAATAGAAGGGAAGGGGGGGTGCTACCTGGAGACCCATCCCATTCGGGGGGGGGGACCTCGCGGGCGGAAGACGGGATCATACAATACATACATCCGTACGTACGTACATACATACGTACATACGTACATACGTACATACGTACATAAATACGTACATACTTGGAGGCTCGGGGGCGGTTATAAGCACATAGGGGACATACTAGGTACATACGGCACTTATTTGGATACAGCGCTTACACTATGTCACTTTGTGGACTTACTGGGACAGCACTTGTAGCGCACTTACATAAGTGGCTTACAGCACTTACCTAAGTCTGCGAGCGCTTTTGTGTTTTCGCAACACGCGATTTGGGTTTTTGTGCTTCCACGAAAACTTGCAACGGAATTTTGTGTTTCCACCAGAACCCCATTCAGAATTTTGTGTTTCCACCAAATATGAAACGGGATTTTGTCTTTCCGCAAATTTTTGTAAGTGCACTTAGCCTAGATGCGTAAGTAGCGTAAGCCCTTTACAGGACTGAGGCCACTTAGGGCATAAGCTGCCTATCTCACTTAGCCCACATACGCTAAGTGGTTAGCCCAGTGCCATAAGTTGCGGAATCATTTATGGAACATAATATATAGTTAGCCGAAAACTGTAACTACTTACGGAAGTGACTTAGAGACAGCAGACCGCTTAGCACCACTTATAAGGTAACTTAGCACCACTTATAAGGTAGGTTACAGCACTTAGTAAGTAGGGTATAAAAGTGCTCTAACCTTGCTATGTACTTATAACCGCCCCCAGGCCTCTAAGCACGTACATACGTACATACGTACATACGTACATACGTACATACCTACATACCTACATACGTACATACGTACACACGTACATACGTACATACGTACATACGTACATACTACATACGTACATACATACATACATACATACATACATACATACATACATGATTTCATTTGATTCCATTGCATTTGTATGCATAGGAAATCTATGGAAATCTGACACCAAAATTCTACAGTCACATATCCGCATATCCGCTTTTGCAGCAAGTTCTGCTGTGATTGGAAGACCGCAAGCGTGACAGGATCCAGATAGCTCTATCAGTCCTTCTGAATGCACAGAATTACTGAAAGCAATTGCCTTGGCACAAGTCGCTTGCATGTCAGCTTGCATTGCGCCTGAGTCCCGCAGAGAAAAAACGTTTTTGATGCTTGCAAGCTGAAGTCTTTGAAGTCTGCCGAGGCATTAAACGACATGCAGAAGAAGCTTGCAGTGCTGAAGCAAGATGCAACTTGACACAGAATGACGATGGGAAGCAGTCAGCCTCTTTTTCAAATATATGTACTTCCAGCATTGCTTCTGGCTTGGCTATGGTCTTTGTGTTGCTTCTCATTTCCAAATTCACCCAGTTTTGTAATCCTGCATCACTCCACAGGCTCGCGTGCTCGAAGATAAATGCGTGCGTGGAATTGCATCACGCGAGCAGAAGGCGCGGTTTCTCACTGATGATGATTTAGATGATTGCCAAATAGTTTCGGAGGACTGCAGTTTGACTTACTTCGTAGGTTTCGTGAGCAAAAGCATCCACAACCCAAGATGACCAAGATGTGAAGTGCTTGAGGTCGGGGGCTCAACATCGCCTGCTTCATACATCGAGATGAAGGTGTGACCCTCAGCATGGCCCAAATGCAGTGTTTGGTGTGGCCCGGTGGCAGGTGCAGCTTCTCCTCAGCTACTTGATCTCCTTGACCTACTATCTTTTGCTGAAGGTCAAAGGCAGGTTCGGATGCTTTGATGGATGTTTTTGTGGATATTTTAACATGGTAGAGACAGACAACTTTTGATGTATCAGAGAGTCTGGCTTCTTTGTTTTGAGGTGTCCCGGTCCGTGACCATCCTGTAGTGCCGTCACCTGAAGCCCTTCTGCTTTTCCTTGATGCCTGACGTGGCATTGGTATGGACGTGACATTGCCTGAGGCCGCGGTTGCTCTGGATCAGGACGTTGATTGAAAAGCTAAAACCAGTCGATCAGCGGTTGCAGTCACTTGGCAGCATGACGGGCAACCAGATTTGCATGGAATCTTATATTCACCTGGGATTTCAAGGTATCAGATGAACAAGCTCTTGCAGTGGAACGATGCCAAAAAGGCAGAAGAGGTAGCAGCAGGCGAGACTGATTTTTTCCTTGAGATTTTCTTCAACTTTTCGGCAACGCTTCCCCTGAATTGAGAGCTGGCAAGAAACAAGGCTTGGAGGATGCTCATGCTCCGGGCTTGGGTGGCCGGAATTCTGGCAATAGATGAAGCGGATTCACACACGTTGGGACAGGCCTATGTGGAAACCCGTGAGACCACATGATATGATTCTTTGTGTGCCCTATATAAGGCCTTGCGACCGGGTCAGCTTGTGACCACGGTGCAGGATGATGGCGAGGAGGTCCGTGCTGCGCTGGAGGCTGTCCCACCATTTAACCGTCGCTGAGAGCGCTGAAGAGGCAGAAGCTTCGGAAGTGGAAGCGCAGCCCGAGGATGGGCACCTGGGAGCCTACAAACCTCCGAAGATCGCGCAGGCGCACCTGCTAACACCTTGTTGGCGTCTTGTTGCCTTTTTAACACCTCATTAACAAGACTTTGGTCAACTTGTTAACTCTGACCAGTTGACACCTGTTGAAACTTGGGCACTGCATCAGGGTGACTGGTGACTGCTTGGATTTCTACAGCTGAAGTTGTGGCAGGTAGAGTACACTGGAGATCACATCTCCATGCAGGCAGGTTGTGTGGTTTGAGCACTGTCACACCCAACCCAAAGCTGCAGCCACTGAGGAGCGGGCTCAAAAAGAGCTTGATCGAAAGAAGGCCAGCCAACTGCACGGGGTGGATCAGTCGCCCCAAGGGGCTCTTGTTTCGCTTGACTTCCCCTGGCTGGGCTTGTGTTCCTAGGTTGAGGTGCATCCTGGCTTGTGGTTTGATGCAAGAAATTGTTTTGATCTCTGGTGCAACTTCACAAGATTGTCGAAGGCTCGACTGGAGCGAAGCGAATTCATGCGCAGTTTGCGAGAGGAGACGTCCGAGTAGCAGTGGAGGTGTGTCAACTATCAGCAGTGAATCATCAGTGAGTGTGTCTGGGTCCTTCCAACACCATCAACGAAGGAGTTCACGGATGCTCCGAAAGAGATTGTGGCAGAGGAGAGATCTGCTCGTAGAAAACTTACACGGCAAAGGGGCGGATTAGGAAGGGCCCTGCGAACAGGACAATGGGAGCTAAATTTGGGCCCAACTACAGTATCGTGGATATACTGTAGTGGTCATTCTTGCATGTCGTCATTGTTTGTATTCTATGATCTGAGGTGCTGAAAAGGCAGCTCGCATGATGCGAGAACAGCAAGAGCTGCAGCCATAGCTCGATTTGGAGTGAGGTGTGAAGCATTAACTATCTGCTGCCGAGTTTAACCTCGAACAACCACTCAGGTTCGAAGAAGACACCATGACGCGAGTGAAAGTCAAAAAGGCCTGCCTTTGGGATCCTTTGGGCATGTTCGGGTGATGAGCCTTTGAGTGAAGAACAGCCGGGATGTCCATTCTGGGAGGCTGAACTCCGTAGGCAGAAGCAAGCCTTGAGGCATGAACATTGGAAAACCATTTAGCCCTTTCGTTTCAGCAGGCTCCTATTGCAGAAGTTTAGTGAAGTTTGCTGAAACGTCTCAGCCTGCCTGATGTCTTACAGGGAAGGGCGGGCAACATCTGGCGGGGCTGTGTCCCTTTTTGATGCAGGAAGCCCAGACATGCTCAGACTGTAGGGGACAAAGTTCAAGCAACTGGAACCTGAAGACATGAAATTGTGAAGATGAGGTGGCCTCTGACTTCGGTCAGATCATGCGAGGCGGGAAAGCGTAGAAGGTAGATCATGATGGATCCATGTAGATCGCGCTATACAGATACCCAAAAACAATCAGGAGCATTTCGGATGGTTGGAGAGTGAACATGAGTGAACCATGGACAGCAATACACAACAACATCTCCGGAGAGGAGCCTCCTCTGGAAAAGGTGGAAAAGGTGGGAAAGTCAGGAAGTTGCTGCTTGTAGCTGCTTGATCGTGCGGCAACCACTTTGATCCAACCCTGTGTCAGGGAAGGGACGACGTGGAGGAGTGCTCCAGGAATACGAAGATGCCAGAGTCTGAGAGTTTCTGTTTGATGCAAGAGGCGCAGACCCACAGAGTCGTCAACTACTTGTCACACGTTGTTTCAACAGCCAGGCCAAACAGAAAGTCCATGGACTCCGAGAATCCGTTGCATCAGCTATGGATGGGGCCCGTGGGTCAGTGCCTCAGAAATCAACAATTGAACAGCCTGAGTCAAAAAAAACGAAATCTTCAACACCTGAAGTATGAGGCGGAAACGGTCCTCTGGAGGCCCGTCCCAAACATCACATTGATGTGAAGGAAAAGATGCAAGAATCAGCGTAGTACAAGCTATGTCAGCTATGTTTAAATATCTTTAAACATGTTTGTGTATGTATTGTGATATATTATGATCACAATTTCTGTACGTTTTGCTATCAGGGAGCGAACCTTCAAAAGCGGGTTGAACAGCGCCGGCACCTGAAGGCCAGATGAAAGGGAAGCGAAAGCGCTGATAACGATGATCCTGTCCGCCGGTAAACGGCCAAAGTGTGGCCTGTGGGCTGGCAGATAATTTCTGAGATAATGTATGCTGCTGAAAGTGGCCCAAGTTGCTCCTTTGATGTTGCCTGGACATGAACGCTGATCCCTTTGTTGTGGCATTAGAATGTACCTTCGCTGTAGTCTATCAAGATCTAGTGGCTACGATCAGACATGTACGGTTGCTCTACGATTGAACTCATGCACCAAGCAAGTGGAATGAAAGGAGTAACATGATTGCTGCGTTTGGACAGCGCTCAAAGCTGAAGAAATTGTTTGCTGCTTGCTGTCTCTTTGTGTTATATGCAGATTGTGGAGCTATGACATTGTGAGACCGAGACCTGACCCAGCTGTGGCGACTGCGGGCAGCTATGATGCCAAAACCTACTTGTTTTGCCGGCTTGCAGGTCCAGATCAACAACGACACCAAGATGGTCTCCTCTCAACAGACCGTCCTGGAGGACACGGGAAAATCAGGTCGGTTGAAGCTGAGAGATGCAAAGTCATATGTCCGCCAGTCTTCAATCAAAGACTTTGAGATCCGCATTCCCTACAATTGTCCGGACCTAAGGCTGACCAACTCGATCAAGCCTCATTGTTGAAGCAGACCGGACCAGACCGTACGCAGCAATCACTTCGCAGTATATTATATATATATATTGTTCTAAATCATAATCATTTCATAATCTATATCCTTTCTTAAACCCTTGCTACCAAGCCGCAGTAAGCCACAGTTGCAATTCGGCTGGTGACTCGAGGCCGTGCTGGCATTTGCGGTGCATGTGAGGCGCGTCTTACGGGTGCTGCTCCTTCTGGGGCCATTCGGTGAGCCCAGGCCCTTCACCAAGGCCAGCGGATCAAGACATGCTACACACCCGTGAAGGACAGGCCACCATTGTGGATGACCATTATGATCCATTATGTATCATTATGTATAGATATGCATGATATGCATGATAATATTTTTGAGCTGACGCTCATCGTCGGCTCCGCCGGACCACTCGGCCCTCCATTTCATCGCAGTGTGGGCGTGAAAGTTACTGAATGAGGACCTGCTTCAGAAATATATTCCTTAGGTTTTTTGGAACATATTTGTTGGAATAGACGATTTTTTGGGGAGCAAGTGAGTTCCCGAAAGCTCCTGCGAAGGGTTTTTCCTAAAGAACTGCTGCCAATTTCAACTTGTTACTTCGTGTAAAGGCGCCTCTGTGCAAAGACTTCTCTGTGTAAAAGCTTTTGTGTGTAAAAGTTTCCGTGTGTAAAAGATTCCCTGTGTAAAGACTTCTTTGTGTAAAAGCTTCTCTGTGTGAAAGCACGTCTGTGTAAAGATTTCTCTGTGTGTAAAAGCTTCCGTGTGTAAAAGCTCTCTGTGTAAAGGCTTCTCTGTGTAAAAGTTTCTGTGTGTAAACGCGTCTGTGTGTTAAAGCTCTCTGTGTAAAGACTTCTTTGTGTAACAGCTTTTGTGTGTAAAAGCTCCAAGACGTTGTGTGAAAAAGCTCCTCAGAGGAAAGACTTCTCTGTGTAAAACCTTCTGTGTGTAAAAAGCTACTCTGTGTAAAGGCTTCTCTGTGTAAAAGCTTCTGTGTGCAAACGCGTCTGTGTGTAAAAAGCCCTCTGTGTAAAGACTTCTTCGTGTAAAAACTTCTGTGTGTAAAAGCTCCTAGACGTTTGTCTGCAAAAGCACCTTAGAGTAAAGACTTCTCTGTGTAAAACCTTCTGTATGTAAAAAGCTCCTTTGTGTAAAGACTTCTCTGTGTAAAAGCCCCTGTGTGTGTGGGTAAAAGCTTCTGTGCGTCTCCTCCCTCCAGCTTTCTTTCGGGTCACGCTGTCGTCCAGTTTCAATCTGCAACGTTGTTTCTTGTGGAAGAATGCAAAATAATGCAAAGAACATGTGAAAGCATCGCGCGTTTAAAAATTGAACATAAACAGCGCACAAAGTGCTGTAATTTACAGCATTTTGCGCTGTCAGCTGGCAAGAACCCGCGTAAATACCACAGTTTTACCCCCCAGATGTGGCTAAAACACTGTTATTTACAGGGTTTCGTTCACGTCACGATCTTCGATTTTTTGGGAAACGCGTAAATACCAGCGTTTTTTACGCTCATCAAGGCAAAAAAAACGGTTCAAAAAGTGCACAAAACATGTAGTAATTTACAGGGGTTTGGCGCCGTCACGGGCAAACAAACTGTGTAAATACCAGCGTTTCAGCGTCCAAAAGTGGCCAAAACACCGCTATTTACAGCGTTTCGTGCCTTCCACGTTTTCTTGAAATTGTAAAAACCGTGTAAATACCAGCATTTTTTGCGATCAACACGCCAAAAATGTTGTAATTTTCAGTGCTTTTTTGCTTGGCTTTCAAAAACACTGGTATTTGCAGTGTTTTGTGCATCTCTGGTCCAAAAAGCATTGGTATTTACAGCATTTTCTGCGTTTTTGCATGGCTCCCGCAAAAGACGTTAAAACGCAAAAATGCTGTAATTTACACCATTTTGTGACTTTCGAAAAGTTGAAAATTGTCCGAAAAATGTGTCAAAACGGCACTTTTATCCGATTTTAGGTACCCTCCAAACGGGGGGGGGTGGGAGAATGTTCTTGGAGACGCTTATGAGCGACCCGGATTCTTGCCAAAAAGCTCTCCCCCACCCTCCTGAAGGATTTTTGGTGTTTTTTGGGGCCCGGCGTCGGAGGGTCAGCGGTTTGGGGCGCGCCTCACCATAGAGCTCTAGTCGCTCTGGGACGCTCGTAGGGCAAGCCACTCGTAGCCGAATTTAAGCGCTTACGCGCGACAGCCGGCCAGGGGCCCAACTAATTATATTGGCCCATCTTGTGGCTATGCTAGCCTATGTTGGCCTATGTTGACCTATCTTGCGGGACATGTGGGCCCAGCTTGGAGCTATGTTGGCCCAGCTTGGGGCTATGTTGGCCTATCTTGAAGGCTATGTGGGCTGATCTTGAGGCCTATGTCGGCCGATCTCGAGGCTTATGTTGGCCCATGTTGACCCATCTTGAGCCAAAAGTTGCTGTTGATGTCGTTGTCCTTATCGCTATCGTTGTCCTCACCGTTGTCGTTGTCGTTATCATTATCGTTGTCCTTGTCGTTGTCGTTGCTGTTGTTGTCGTTGTCCTAATCGCTATCATTGTCGTTGTCGTTGTGGTTGTGGTCGCGGTCGTGGTCGTGGTCGTGGTTGTTGTTGTTGTTGCTGCTGCTGTTGTTGTTGTTGTTGCTGTTGTTGTTGTTGTTGTTGTTGTGGTTGTGGTTGTTGTTTGTTTGTTTGTTTGTTTGTTTGTTTGTTTGTTTGTTTGTTTGTTTGTTTGTTTGTTTGTTGTTGTTGTTGTCGATGATGATGTTGTTGTTGATGATGTTGATGATGAGAATGCTGTTGTTGTTGATGCTGCTGATGCTGTTGATGGTGTTGATGTTTTTGTCTGTTGCATCAATTTGGAGCTAAGTTGGGCCATCTCGGGGCTATGTAGGGCCATCTTGGAGCTATGTTGATCCAGCTTGGGGTCATGTTGGGCGATCTTGGGGCCATGTTGGGCCTATGTTGGGCCATCTTGGGCCTATGTTGGGCCATCTTGGGGCTATCTTGGGCCTATGTTGAGCCATCGTGGGGCCATGTTGGGCCTAAGTTGGGCCATCTTGGGGCTCATCTTGGCCCATCTTGGGGCCATGTTGGTGCGAGGGGGCACCCCCCCAAGTTTTTTTTTTCGATTTATGTTGTTTTTGTCGAAGAGCAAAAAACACCGTAGGTCGGAGGTGGGTCGGCGGCAGGGGGCGGCAGCCGTATAGCTAAAGCTACGGCCTTCGGCCGGGGGCTTTGCCGATCGACAGGGCCTGCTGGCCCGATTTAAGGGGCTGACGCCCAACAGCGGGCCAGCAGGCCAAAAGGTGCAGGGTCGGATCAGCAGCATCATCATCATCATCACCATCATCATCATGATCAGCATCAGCATCAGCATCAGCCTCAACAACTCATCATCATCATCATCATCATCATCATCATCATCATCAGCATCACCATCAGTCTCAACAACAAGAACAACAACAGCAACAAGAACAACAAGAACAACAAGAAGAAGAAGAAGACAAAACAAAAACAAGAACAAAAAGAACAACAAGAAGAACAAGAAGAACAACAAGAACAACAACGACGACGACAAGAACAACAGCAACCAGAACGACAACAAGAACAACAACCACAACGACAACGACAACACCAAGGACAACAACAACAAGAACAACAACTACTACAACTACAGCTACAACTACAACGACTACTACAGCAACAACAACAACTACTAGTACGAGGACGACTACGACTGAAACAACACCAAGCACAACAAGAACAAAAACAACAACAGCAGCAACAACAACAACGACACCAACAACGACAACAACGACAACAACAACAATGACAACAACCACAACGACAACCTTGTTGTGATTGTTGTTGCTGCTGTTGCTGTTGTTGTTGTCGTGGTTGTGGTTGTGGTTGTGGTTGTGGTTGTTGTTGTTGTTGTTGTTGTTGTTGTTGTTGTTGTTGTTGTTGTTGTTGTTGTTGTTGTTTTTGTAGTTGGTGTTGGTGTTTTCCTTCTGGTTGTTGTTGTCGTGGTTGTGGTTGTTGTGGTTGTTGTGGTTGTTGTGGTTGTTGTGGTTGTTGTTGTTGTTGTTGCTGTTTGTTGTGACTGTTGTTGTTGTTGTTGTTGATGATGTTGATGATGAGAATGTTGTTGTTGATGCTGCTGATGTTGTTGATGGTGTTGATGTTTTTGTCTGTTGCATCAATTTGGAGCTAAGTTGGGCCATCTCGGGGCTATGTTGGGCCATCTTGGAGCTATGTTGATCCAGCTTGGGGTCATGTTGGGCGATCTTGGGGCCATGTTGGGCCTATGTTGGGCCATCATGGGGCCATCTTGAGCCTATCTTGGGCCTTTTGGGGCCATTTTGGGCCTATGTTGGGCCAGCTTGGGCCAGCTTGGGGCCATCTTGGCCCTATGTTGGGCCATCTTGGAGTTCATCTTGGGCCAGCTTGGGGCTATGTTGGGGCAGGGGGGTACCCCCCCGAAAATTTTATGTCAGATTTATGTTGATTTTTTCGAAGAGCAAAAAACACCGTAAAT